AGTGGACCGATGTTTCTCTCTATATAAAATCAATATGCATATCCTCGATGAGAATTTAAATATATATAAATGAACAAGGGGCTTAACAGATTCCTTGAAAGAAACAACATACTAAAAATACTAATTATCCCAACCAGGGATAATGGAAAGAAATAACAGAACATGTCACCTACTGTTTATAAACCTGCTGTCAAGGTTTGACATTGGAGGGGAAAACCCTGTCTGCTTGTCAAAAAGCAATTTCCACTCATCCACTATTGTCCATGAACAAACCCATTAAATGTGAAGGGAACGTGAATCAGTAAACTAAGAGTAATTAGTGTTTCCAATAACTGGGATATGTACCAAGGGTAGGTACATGCTGTTTTACTAGTGGGAGACAGCTGCAAAAAGCAACAGACAATACGGCTGTTTGATAGCTCAGTTCACTAGAACTTTGCAATGATGGAAATGTTCTGTACTTCCAGGGCCACTACTCACAAGTAGCTATGTCTAGAAATGTGGCTAGTGCACCTGGAAAATAGCCACACGGGCTGTAGTAGTGAAGCTTGAGAACTTGCATTAAGTAGAGACTGGGACTTCACTGGGCCCAAGCCAAATCTTGTCCACGATCGCCTCCCCCTCCTTTGGCCATACATCGTTTCAGAAAGTGATTACCCCAGATGTCCTGCTGAAGGAACCTGATTTAGGCTGCAGTTCCCTTTTTCTCCTCGGATAGGGTTCTGGCACTTACCAAGTGGTCAAGAGATGCACATGAGCATGTCCACATGGACAACACTTAGAAGCCACAAGTTAAGATAAAAGGTTTTTATTCAAAAAACGCCAAGTATAAAAAAAAAAAAAATAAGATCTCTTTTATTCCCCTGTACAGTATTTCACTCAGATAAGACCAACAGGCTACATGCTGCTCAAAACACAGCCCCAGAGAGGATCCGGAAGGCACACCATCCAGAACTGGTTTCCATGTCTCTACCCTATATACACAAGTCAGCGACGCCCCTCCCCGTCACCCACAGAACCCACCCCCGGGGGCCGCAGCAGTGGGGAGCTGCAGCAGCTGTCCCGCCTGAGAGTCCCATCACCCTAAGAACAGAGCAAGTGTCACAGCCCTCCCCCAAAAGGTCCCCAAGTCAGAGGGAAAGGAGGAAAGAAAACTATGGCGGCGGCCGTGGAAGCTTGGAGCTGGAAGGGAACCAAATAAATAAATAAATAAATACATAACGTTGACCTCCAGGTTAGAATGCGCATCTTTCAAAAAAAAAAAAACAAAAACAAAAACAAAAAAAAACAGGTAAAATAACTTAAAGGCAAAAATTTTTAAAAATTAGATCAACTACAATCCTCTTGTACACTATCATGCCAACTGTACACACATTTACAGGTTTTCTGTTGATTTGCATTGTTTGTGCATATTTTGTGTGTGAGGTCTTGGCTTTGAAACAGTTAAGTAAAAACCAAAAGGGAAGACCAGAAAAAAGGGCAGGTGGCTCAGCATTTGGCCCTGTAGCCTCTTCCATGGCACCTTTCATATGAAGGAGAGGGGAGGGGGGCAGGAGAGAGAAATAGGGAACCAAACCCAGGCAGATTTTTGGAGAAGCAGCAGGTAAAAGAGGCAAGTTCAAGTATTTCTCCCAGCACAGCCGGAGTCCCCACAGAAGGCACTCAGAAGAGTCGGAAGAGGTGACAGGGACTTAAAATGGTGCTAGTCCTATCCCACCCCAACCCGTTTTCCCCCAACCCGACCCATCGCGGCATTCAGCAGAACTCGTGATGAAGGGAACAGTTCCATGGCAGGGTTCTGACCCACCCCCCACCCCCACCCCGGGATTTTGCAGAGTCCAGCAATGCTGGCTGGACACCTATGAGGAGAGAGCATCTATGAGGAATTCAGGCCTAGGACGCTGGGAGAGGAGTTTCTTCCCCTGCCGGAGGCATCCTCCAGGGGCCTGGGGTCTGGAATGAGTTGTAAATGTTGTTCCTGTATCAAGCACTGTCCTGCTTAGTGAGAAGTGTCACTGGTACAGAAGCTTCCCCTCCCTGGAGCATCTGACAGGAGGGGAAGACCTGCTGGAAAAGCTGCTATTTGCTGGGCCCTGGCGACAGGCTGTGGAGGTGGATCTCAGCAGTTTCCTGGGGCAGGAGAACATCCTGCATCCACGGATGATTCTGGATTTCTTCAAAGGATGGCCGATCTGATGGTCTCAGGGCCAAGCACCATCTAATGAGATGCTGACACTCTGCAGAAAACAAGAAAGGTCATGAATGACTCAACCTGTTTTTGTAAAGCAAAGGCCTTCCCAATTTGCTTCCTGGGGGCCTGCAAGTCTGGGGTTCAACACAGACCACATACTTTCTAGCACTCGTTTTCTTTAGTGAGAATGTATTACAATCTGGACCCAACAGTCTGCTTTCAGCTAAAAAAAACAGCACCCCTCTTAAACCTGTGGTTTTCAAACTTCAATAGCTCGGGCCTTTCCCACGACACCCACTCACCAGAAATAGGAAGGATGACAAGGGATTTTGATGAGACATCAGTGAGCACGAGGTGATTCAATTCACCTACCAACTTACAAATATGAACACCACCCACAATGAGGTCACTGGAACCGCAAAATTTAGAGCCTGCCTTAATTTAAGGGAGAAGGCTCAAAGGGCCCTCAACTTTTTACTCCCAGTCAGTCACTGAGGGATCAGGATGGCTCTGCTGGCACTTTAAAAAACCTTTCAGTGAAACTAGATGGTCTTTTCTTAATATTTTCACACTCGCTCTTCCTCTGACCGCCTAAGGAATTCTCAAATGCAAACCATTCGCCTCCTGGGGGTCAGCTCGCAGGGTGAATCACTGGCCCAGGATTCTGCTAAGCCAAAGGTGGGTGGGCATCTCCTGGAGAGCAAAGCTCTCCAGAATCCAAAGACTGTGTTCTTGCTTGTCCTCAACAGGGGGCTTCCCAGAAGTTACCTGAAGAGACCCGCTGCCTGAAGAAAACTTGGCCCCTGATGATCTCCTCATCGTGCTCAAAAGGAATATCTCCACACACCATATCGTAGAGCAGGATCCCCAGAGACCACACAGCCGCTGACCTGCCGTGGTAGCGATGGTAACGTATCCACTCTGGAGGACTGTACACTCGGGTCCCTGTGAGCCAGGGGAATAGAAAGGAAAACAGGCTTTTAGCAAAAATAAAACACCAAGCAACTGAGGGGTGTGCTGAGTAACTAAAACAAAAGGCACCACCTGCCTTCTCTCACCATTTTCCCCTGTAAGCTAAAAGGAGTGGATAAGCAGCTTATGGCATCTCTCCAACCATGACCCACCTCTCTACCAGCCTAGGCTATAAACTAAAATTCTTTACAAACTGCTCCAAGAAACAAACAGGCTGGCCGCAGACCCAAAGCCTGAGGCCTGTATGTGGCAGGACCACCCATAAGGGGATGAAGGGACGAATGTCTGCACAGTCAAGGGAGGCATCCCACAGGCTAACCTTAAACTGCACTGAAGGTTGCCCAGGAGCTAGGGTGAGAGTCTCATATCTCAGATATGATGATGCAGGTGAGGACACCTGCACAACATCCTAAGTCAGGGTGCCCTTTGGGAGGCCTTCCTCCCCACCCTCTGAGCGCAGGGGCAGACACCCACACTCTTTCCTCCCCACACTGGAAAGGTAGACAGCTGCAGAGCTGGTTTCAGACCACGTGATTCCTGTTTACAAACTTTGGGTTGTAAAAAAAAAAAAAAAAGTAGGGGCCATCCCTCTGGTGCTCACCAGGGGGCAGCAAACACTCGAAAGAAAAAACATGGGAGGATCCGACCAGCCATTAACTGTTAAATACAAAAAAATGCAGCCCAACCCAGCGTCCTCCAAGGGCAAATAAACACAAACCACAAGCCCCAGTCACAAGTTTTGAAAGGCTGTCGTTTGTTAGGTTAAGCTGCTCAGATGGCGACCCACCCGACTTTGCTTTGATCTCAAGCTCTTCATTCCATCTTTTCTGAAAGAACCCGCTCCAAGCCCCTCCCTAGGATAGGTTTTCATTCTCTCTTCGGAGACACCCAACTAATTTTCAAACCAGCAAGAGATCTTATTTCACAACATTCATTCCCGACTCCCTCGCCACACAACACCGAGAGAAAAAAAAAAAATCAACAAAATGAATTATTTAGTGAAACTACTGTTTCTATTCTTTATCCGTCCCTCGATCAAAGGGGAGGAAAAACTGCAGCTCTGAAAACTACCTTACAAAAAAAAAAAAGCTAAACTCATAGAACAAAACTAAAATTACAAAACCGGCATCAATTTTCATCTCTCCCGCTCTCTCCCTCTCCCCCCTCCCATCCTTTTCCTGGCGGGGAAAACTGGGTCAGACTTCAGAAATCTGGGCTACGGCCGGTTGCCCGCAACCTCTTATTCATCGGCAAAGCTTGGAACCCACCGAATTCCACTTAAAAAAATAAAATAAAAATCATGCCAGAAACATTACAGGTTCAGCTGGCCTGAAATCGCCGGCTGGGAAGCGCTCTTCGCCCCACCCCTGCTATCATGGAGCCAGGCGGCCCGATGACCTTTACAAAGGGCCGGAGAGGGAGGCTGGCGGAGGCCTCCAGGCCAGGCCGGGCCACCTGGGCAGCTCCCCCCGGAGGCTCCCTCCCAGGCCTGGCTCACCGTCAAAGTCCGTGTAGACGGTGTCCTTGAGCAGCGCCCCCGACCCGAAGTCGATGAGCTTGAGCTCGCCGCGACTGAGGTCGATGAGGATGTTCTCGTCCTTGATGTCGCGGTGGAGCACCCCGCAGTTGTGGCAGTGCCGCACGGCCTCCAGCACCTGCCAGAAGAAGCTGCGGGCCAGCTCCTCCTGCAGGGCCCCTCTTTCCGTGATGAAGTCGAAGAGGTCCTGCACCGGCTCGGGCCTCTCCAGGATCAGGACGAAACTGTCTGGCCTCTCGAACCAGTCCAGGAGCCGGATGACGCCGGAGAAGCCCGAGCTCACCTTCTTCAGCAGGACGACTTCCATGGGCACTCGGGTTCCATTGGGCTGCGGGGACAGGGAGGCAGCGTTAGGGCGGGAGTCGGAGGGCGCCCCTCACCCCACCCATCCCGGGGGTCGCTCCCTCCTCGGCACTCACCAGCTCTCCCCAGTCGGAAATCCGGTCCTTCTCCACGTGCTTGATGGCCACCTGGAAATCACCCCAGGAGAGCCTCGTTAGGTCCCCTCGCTGAGCCAAAACACAGCCGTGTGACCCCCGCCCGGCGCGCCCTCCCCGCGGCGGGGCGCCCACTCACCGGCAAGTTGTCGGCGACACGGATGCCTGAGTAGACGGAGCCGAAGCCGCCGCTGCCCAGTAGCGGGCCCACCTGGTACTGCGACTCCAGGGGCTCCTTCTCCTTGCCTAGGAAAGGGGGAGACGCAGGGAACTTAGTGCCGGCCCGCGAGCCCCCAACTCCCACCCTGAGGGTCCAGCCCCCCTCCCCATCTCCGGATCAGGGAGGCGCTCACCCGGCGCCAGCTTGGTGGCGTGCAGGTCGTTGCAGGGCGCGGCGCGCAGGTGGGCAAGCGAGTTGATTTTGGACAAGAGCATCCCAACCTCCAGGGTGTCGACGCAGGGACGGCGTCTGGAGGAGCTGCGGCAGGAGCTGGAGATGGGACTGTGCCTAAGGCTGGGGCTAAGGCTGCGGGTGGCGATGCGGCTGTGGCTGCGGCTGGCGCGGAAGGCCGAGGGCGAGTCGGAGGACAACTGGGGGTGCTGCCGGGGCTGGCGGCTGGTGGACCCTCCGGAGGGGTCAGGCAGCGCCGAGGGCGACGGGGTGGACGGCTCGCGGGACTCGCGTGGCAGGGCCGCGGCACAGGGGGCTTGGAGCTACTGCTGCTGCTGCTGCTGCTGCTGGTCCCGCCGCCGCTGCCGCCAAGTCCTCTCGGGCCTTCGCCACCGGGGCCGCTGCAGCAGACGCCCGGCTCGCCCAGCAGCCAGGAGTAAAGGG